CAAAATACGTGTTGCATACTATATTTGATGATGTTAAAAGTCCTTGAATATGTTTTAATGAATTCTTTTTGGATTATTTTTTATTAATGATATATTTCTTGTGAATAAATTTAATATTATTTATTGACTGTAAATTGTGCACATATATGTTGCTCTGCAAGCTAAATAGCTTTATTATATCTTATCACTTCATAAAAATTTATATAAAGCTTTATAGATTATTAGTAACACTCATTAACATTTATTAATTCACTAATTATTCATTAACTCACTAATATTTATTGAATGTGTACTAGACACGTTAACAATATTTTAAAAAACACTTTCTCATTTAAATTCACAAGTAAGCTTGTGAAACCCATTGTGCTGATGAACAAAATAAGTTTCAGAGAAGTTAAATAACATATATAAGATTACAAGCTAGTTAAATGACAGTAAGAGAGTGTATCTGATTTCAAATCTTACGTTCTTTTGTTCTAGTGTCAGATCATTAATTCTTTCTGTCTTAAGTAATGACTTCAAACAGAAAGCAGTCAGTTATTTCACCCCCAAAATGAGTCTATTTGGAAACAACTATATAGCAGTTTGGAAAGTGTAGTCTCACGGTGAGATACTGTTATGGGGCAACTCAAACCCTTACAATACCAGTTCTTAGAACCAGTTGCTCGGCAAAGAGAAAGAAAGCCTTCCTCCTTCCAGCAAGGTACCATCACCTTTTGGGGGAGTTGCAAGGTGTGTTGGTTCCCACAGCTGATTGATTGTATATGTGTGGGCACTTTTAAAAAAATGATTTATTTATGTATGCATACAAGAGCTGGGGTTTAGGTCAAAGGTGGGGGGAGGGTGTGAGGATTCACCAGAGTCAGAGCGGGGAGCAGAACAGGCAGATCTATGGAAATACACTGCTGAGGGAAACAGTGGGTGAAACTGAGCAGAGGTGTGTTTTGTGCCATGTGGGTCAGCTTCCTGCCTAGGAATAAAACTCATGCTGCAGTGGTTGCAGATAGCTTAATAGTGCTGAGACTTATCCCCTTGTGCTACTATGGTGACCCCACACATGAGGGCACTTTCTTCTGGCTTCCCAGCTTCATATAAATAGGGTTTCTGTTCATTAATTTTCACATTATATAGAGAACTAAACTTGCTCTTAGCAAACATGTCAGTCAAAAATGGGTTCTAGCTTTTTTCTTTCTTCCTTTTGCTTTTATGAGAGTTACTAGAACTTTTTGATAGAGTTTTCCTAGAATTTTGAGCCATAAAGGACCTCAAAACATAATTCATTCTTTCTTTGCTTCAGGACTGGATTGAAATCAACATTCACTGTTGGTTTGGCAGGGCCAGTTCAGGGCACCCTGGAAAAACTTGTAATTTGATTCTTCTTTAAGGAGTTATTTTTGTCAGCCTGATCCAAAGGAATGCCCTATGAAGGGTGAGCAGAAGGCTCCCTAGTGACTATGCTTAATTTTTCTACATTCACAAGCCAATTAGCTTGGGCTCCAGAGTTGTCTGTTGAATTCCCCTTTTGCTGAAACTACCACTCAAGAGGTTGCCAAGTCTCAAGTCCTTAGACTGAAGGTAGTTTAACACTATCCAGTGAGACTTAAATTTGTTCTTTTGTAAAAAGAAGAAGAAAGAGGTGGAGTGGTGAGGTGAGGGTTTCAAGAGACTCCATCAAACCATTCTATCCAACAGAAAACTCATTCTCACTCAGAGTTCTGCCAAGTACAGCTTTCTCCATCCACTTAAGTGCCCCAATACTTTGGCAACCTTAGAGTTTAGCATTTATAGACTGCTCTCCAGTGAACCTGATCCTTATTTCAACCATATGCAGCCATTTCTTCTCATTACATACATACATGGCCATATGGGTGGGGTATGGAGGTGGGCTGGGGAAGTAGGGTGATAAACTCACAAAGATCAGTGCAAGCACCTTCACTTACACAACTTTGCTCTATGGATGCCATGAGTTTGATATTATTTAATTAAATAAATAACCTCATGGTCTTTTATACATACTGGTTTATACACCAGTGATATGGTAAAAAATTGTATTAGAATTTAAGGAGACTGTGCTTTGAGTTCAGTTTTATTATTTACTTATTGTGTGAACTTTAGAAAATTACTCAATGTCATACTCCAATCCTGTACTGATAAGTCTATAATTGGCAGTAGTGGATTTTGGCAATTAAATAGCTGGATATTGTTTATTTTCTTAACTATTTTTAACAAACTTTATTAATCTTTGGGAGTTTCATTCCTGTGATAAATTCATTCAACAAACTTTTAATGAGGACTAACTATGTTCCAAGCACGTGAACTAGTAGACTAAGCTCAGTTTCTCCTGTGGTCTGTCTTCTGTTCCGTTTTCTCAGGGAAGAGTGATTTATACTAGAAATTACTACAAATTAAATTATTCCAGTGAGCTAATTTATTGCTGAAAATATTTACTTCATTATCTCAACTTTTTGGAGAAAATATTCTAAACAAATACAGTTTGTTTTATCCATGTTATTCCAAAAAATAGTTACAGAAAATGAATCCTTAACATAATCTTAAAAACAAAATCACTACCATGATTCTCATAACAATTTGACTTTTCTGGTAAAATTCCAACCCTTAAATGAGATTAAGTCCTTTAAAAGAAGAAACCCTAAATCTAACTATTGTTGCTAAGTTGTGGGTCTGGGTTCTTATGTCTCCAAGTCACATAAACACTCAAAGTGAGGTAAAGTGAGGAGCATTTATTTAGCTTACCTGGCCACTTCTTTAAAGACTAAAGCTTTTATAATAGCTTGGGTATAGAAATTCAATGCTCTTTCTTCACTGTCAATTATCATTTCAAAGCTTAACTTACTGATGGAGGATAATATGTCCTATACAAGATATACTGCTACTAATAATGGGTACATTTAATGAGCACTTACTATGTACCATTGGATTAAGTACTTTAAATACTTTATTTTATTTAGATCCACCAATGAAACATCACATTTTACAGGTGAAGAAATAGAAATTTAGGGTGGTTATAAAATTATTCCAAGGGCATGCTACTACTGAATGGCAAACTGGCATCCAAGACCAGATTATTTGCTGCCAAGGCTTTTGCATAATAATAAGAGTCTCTCTCCATAGTGAGCTAACAGACTAACAAGGAAAATCAATCAAATGCACATGAAATGATGCAAGACTGAATGAAATAAATACTGTTTTACTGTGTCTAGTACAAAGGAGATTGGAGAAAAAAGAACATTTGGCTGAAGCCAAAGAGGTAGTTTCTGCGCTGGCAGATTAAATTCCCCTTAGAAAATATTTATTGAACACTTGTTTGAACACTTGATGCTATTATAGATACAAGTTTGAACAAAATAGACCTCTTTTCTGAAGGCATTTTTAATGCCTTGACTTAAAAATAAGTTTCAGATACTTATAACACAAGTTAGAATATGGCAACTGATGTCACTGTAGTAAGGCCACTAATCTTGGAGAGATGCATGATAGTGGCCTTTGATTTGGGTCGTGAAATAGGAGTAAGGTAAGAGGGTCAAGAGAGGTAGGGGAAATCTGTGAGTCTAAAGAGGAAGCTTAGAGAGCAAAGGGAAGGGCAAATTCAGGGCACTTTTGAAGCAAGTCATGCAGACCAGTTTGGCCAGAATATAAAGTGTGCGGTCTAGAAAAGAGAAAGATAAGGTTGAAAATGTGGGCGGAGCTCAAACATGGAAATCTTTTAATGCTAATTCAAGGAGTACAGAAGCCATTCTTTATGATGAGGAACCCCTTGTAAATCTTTTTAATTGGACAATGACTTTGGAGAAAGGTGGGAGGAAGCAGGGCAGATTGGACAGAGCAGCAGAGAGGTTTAAATGACTATGGTATTACTTAGTGAATGTGGCGACAACTGTGGAGGTGGTGGGGTGAAGAGGAAAAGGAAGAAAGGGCATATGAACGAGACTTTACCAAGGAAGACTTAATTCATCATAACAAAAATGAATGGAGTAATTATTATATGCTAGACTCTGGGACATTAAGAAAGTAAGAGGTGCCCTTAGGATTTTGAAGTCTAGTTGGTGAAAGGAACCCAGATAAATAATAACTTCATAAAATAATGAGCATGTTCATGAGGTATATAGTGAGTCTGTAGTAGTATCAACTAACAACTAACCTAATAGGGAAATGTCTGCCTTGAAACTCAAAATTAGATAGAATTAGACAGTGTTGTCATCTGTAAGTCATTTACAAGTATGGCATTGTGATTTACATTCTGGTTATGTTAGATTTGGAATAAACCATCTTGAGGTGTGACACTGGGGAGGGACAGTGTTCTTCATGTATTTTTCACAAACTCCTAGAACACCACTAAGGGTGTTCTCCGTGTAGTATCACAAGATGTACTTGTCAGTAATTAACTATAACAACCTATTCATTCTTTCATTCAGTGAATATCTATTTAGTGGCTACTATGGGTCTCTGGTTGTAGAAAAGAAACAGAATTTGACTTCATCTAAAGAGTCCTATAGCTGCAAAACACCAGTGTTTGCTTCTGTACCAAGGGCATGCTCAGGATCTTGAGTTTGAAGGAACTTTGTCCATGTGTTGCTTACTATACAGGCGAATTTCTAATTGCTTACATTCCTCTAGTATTCTGCTGCCGAAAAACATTTTTTTTCAAAAAACTTTTTAACGCTGCTTCATAAATATACAAACGAAGGTTCAAAAGTTTCAAAGCCTTACCCCCACTGCCAGTGAAGGTATGTGCCCAGGCGCTGTGCTAACCCCATTTCGCCAGCGGTTTCATTTATTGAGTGACCACGGGAGGTCGACTCCAGCTTCTGCAGGGGGCGGGTCTCTAACGCCTGCGACCGCGACCTGAGAAGATCCCTGCGGAGCTGAGGTGAGGCTGGAGGGGGCGCCTCCGAGAGTTTGAGGAGAGGGATGGGCGGGGCTTTCTCTTAGGGGGCGTGGCTTAATCGATGGGCCGGGCCACGGGAGGCGGCGGCCGTTGCTGGGCTACCAGAGAGCGCGAGGCCCGCGGCACTTGCAAGCTCTCGGCTTAATGCTCTGGAGAGGACCCGGGATAAGACTCTGTGCCTTACACCCAGCACCCAGCCTAGTTCCGAGAGCTCCGGTGCATCAGACTCCAGCCCGGATCTAGGACTGAGAGCGGGGCCGACGGGGCTGCTCAAGTGACAGGAAAGGTAGGTGTCCGGTCCCTCTAGGGGCTCGCCCTAGGCCCTCGTCTAGTGGATCCCGGTGAGATGAAAGCTGGGAAAATAGGCGGTTGCCTAACTGAAGGAGGGGGCGCAGGCAAGGGGTGCTCACGTGAGAAGAGGGGGCAGGCGCACTGTGCGGGAAAGTCGACCCCCAGGAAAGGGTGGCAGCCAGGGACTGCTGGGATTAGGTGAAAGGGGACTATGGGAGTGGAGGAGGCACCGAAGATGCTGGTGCTTTATCTACATAGCTGGAGGTACAGGAGGAGGGTGTGAAAGCCTCAGGATCTCCCCTGGCGTTGGGAATGAGGAACCTTAGTCTTAATATCTTAAGACTTTATACATAGGAAATGGCTTATAAGGCAAACGTATGTGAATAAAAAAATAAATCAGTCTGTGTGTGTGAGGTTAACCTCGGCTTTAAATGGATGCGCTCCAATCCCTGCCTACCAAGCCCGCGAGCCTGACAGGGGGGCAGCTCGGCTGAGTAGGCTTGCACCCCGAATGCTCTTACCTGAGGAAGCTGTCTGCAGGCCAGGACTGTCCAGTTGTGGTCGAGCAATTGCAAAGAAGGCGTTCAGAAGATTTAGACATAGTCCATAAATATACTCATTCTGTGGGAAAAGAAAGTGTCACAAATAACAATATTAGATAGTGATGGATGGAACTTCTGATAGGTTAGAAAGAAAGAAAGGTCAACTCGTAACACCCTGTCAAGGTTCTGAAGTCATGGAATAAAATTGTAGCAATTATATTATTGAAAATGAAGTTTGGAAGGGTCAAAATTCAGTGGTTGTTTGCTGTTCTTGGTAGCAAACTGTTCTTCAAACCTGCATTTACCATAGCGAGAGATACATGTCACTTTTTTGAGAGCATTTTCATTAAAAGGACTCAATTTACAGACAAAACCGTAAGCTTAGATATTTCTTTAATAATTTAAGTTGAAACAACATAATTCAAAATATTTATAAAAGTATTTACTCCATTGATAGTTTCCATAACTAAAAGTTTCTTTATGTAAACAGGAAACAGTTATTGTTAAGCATGACTTACACAAACAGAAGTATTTATTTTAATATGCTGTTTCGTGGCCAGATAGTTATATAGCAAAGGGGAGGATTATATTGCATTAGCCCATGATTTGCTCAATATTTCTGTTGTGCAGTTTCACCTTAGGCATTTGATCAGTGCTACTTTCATGTAGTTTAAGTATATATTTTATTTTGTACACTGCTTAATATTTAACTTAAAGATATGTAACTAGGAGAATTGAGTCCTATTGTGGAAGATAGTTTTTATCATTAATTATTACTCACCAAGATGTGGATATTTAAAAAATTCTCTGCATAATATTTATAGAGTTGTTTTGAAAATAATATAAAGCATTTAATTTAAAAAATATTACAAGGACATTCATAAATAGTCTTTCATGCTCTGTATATTCTTTGCTTTTTAACCATTGAAAAGGTCTATGACATCTATTTTATTGTCAAGGCTAAGTGACTTCATTAACTTGAGAGGTTTTTTTTCAATAGAAAGTGCTAACTCTGGGATGTTGTGTTAATGTTTTCTGGGGCAGCCATGAGAGTATCTTTGGTTATGAGGTCAGGCTAGATCTTGAATTTGAAGGTAAGGATATATGAAGATGTTTTATATATTTGGATTGTGTTTAGCATGACTTTCTTTTCCAGAACTTGAATATGGAGCCTTGCCAACATTTAAGTAGCCATATGAGACATTTTAAAAGAACAGAAAATTAGCTGTTTTTTTTCTTTATCTTTAGGTTATCACCAGCTCTAATTTATCTGTGTGAATATATGCGTGTGTATATGTATGTTTGGAAAAGTGAAACATGTATATTCAAATTAAATATGAGAAATTTAATCTGCCATTTACAGCTCTGATACATGAGTCTAGAGCATGTTGGGGACTTTTGAAACTTACTGTGCAATTCTGATAACACACATAAAGAAAATTTGGATCTCCATATTCATTTATTTTAATCTCTGAACCCAATTTTTACCCAGTCCCCCAGAAGAGGTTAACACAACATGAACAAAACTGTAGGTATCTTTAATACATAGGGGGAATAAAACCCAGTATTTTAAAATCTGTACTTTAAAATCAAGTATATAAAATTCTGGAAAAGGTCAATATACTCTGTTGACTACACGCATAAGAATGCCCACCTTGAATAAATGTACACTCCAAATAAATAGACAGCTGCTTATGTGATAAGAGAGCTAGGGAACAGTCACAGTTAAGTCCATTTGTCTCATGGCAGCTGATTATTAAATGTTCACAGCCTTTTAAAGTAACTTCCTAGCTGAAGGAAAAGAACAGTAAAGCAGTAGGAACATAATTTCTTTTCATGATTTACTGATTGAGCAGTGGGTCCATTCATTGCATTTAATCTGTCTAAAATGTTTACCTTTTAAAGTAAGTTGTTTAAACAGTATTGGGTTATCTTCCAGTCCACACATCACAGAATATGTACCCTTTAAAAGTGACATTTTAAAACCTGACTTTTTTAGAGAACAGCCAACATCAGCAATTATATAAGACAAAGGAACTTGTATATCCGAAGATTAAATATTATTTAGCCACTCTGCAGGCAGCTTAGATGGGTCTAATAGGAGGAAATTCTAAACGAATAGAGGCTACTTATACTGGAGAAGAACACTGCAAATGTTACAAAGAGTGGTTTTGGAATCTATCCAGACATACTTCTAAAATAAAAATTTAAACAGCTGTGTTTTAGAAGTGGTTAGACACAATTCTCTTAGAATAGACTGCGATGTTACAGGTCCCCTTAGTTCTTGATGCTACAATTGCTCTATTTGTGTTCTAGGCTAGAGAAACATTTTTAATTTAGGGAAAAGTTCTTTACTTACTTATTAATATATATGCTCATTGAGTGCACAGTTTGAGAATACTGACTGATTTTCCTAAATATGATAGAACCTAAAAGTAAGAGAAATAAAAAGAACTAGTATCCAAAAAGCCTATTTTACTTTAAACTCTGTTAAAAATAAATAATTATGGGAGCCTAACAGTGAGTGACCCCCTGATTTTTTTGAAAAGTGGGGTAACTGAAGATATTATATTTGGCAATGGAACATTTCAATGCTTCTAGGGTTTTTAGTAGAAAATATTTCATGATTTGAAAAAGGGAAATCATTCTCAATTCCTAGCCAACAACAATATGCATATTTTTATTACAGCATACCTTTGTGAGCTTCCTAGGCAGCAAAAATGACTGCAAACTACCATGTAGGAAGAAAGAATTTCAAATATAGTGAAATTTTAGGCCAAGACTCAGAATACCTAGAGGCTATGAATTATTGTTCTATTTGGAAAAGGCAATACCTACTTTTCTAATTAAGTTTTTATTCTCTTAACATAGAACTGACATTATTTCTCAACCATTTATGATTATGTTCCACCATTAAAATGTAAAAGGCTATATGTATAACATTGGCTTTATTTCAATGCTGATTTTATAAATTGTAAGCCTGCCAGTTTACTTTAATGTTGATTTTTAAAAAAAAAATTCCAGTTTATTGCATATTGGAAAAATGTATGAGTTGAGTGTAGCTTCATTACATAATGTTCATGGTTTTACTATATGAAAACTGTTACCTTATTGCAAGCACTGCATATTAGATAATAAATCACTTTTAAGAGATGGAAAAATAAAATTAAATAATCTATTCTGAAAAAAAGTCATTCTGATTATTTGAATGATTCTAAGATTCATTTATTTTGTTTACTTATAAGATCTAAAATAAAGATCATTCTTAGAAAGTTTACTGAGTTGTTACAATTAGAAAGGTGAGTATTGTGTCCTCTTTCTTAAAATCTTTGTTGATATTATTATACCACTATATTCAAGAAATGGTGTTCTGATCTAAATTATGTTCTATAAAAATAACTTTTTCAATCTCAAGTTATAATTATGTATATATCTCTCATATATTGTTTTAGTGCTATAGCAACCCTATGAGGTAAATCATTTTCCTGAAGTAATGAATTTCCTCACTCATTCTGCATGTACTTAAGCCATAAATTTTGGATGAGTTAATGTTTCTAGAACAAAATTACAACTCTTTTCATTAAGTCCTCAAATCATAATTGGTGGCTTGGATGGTAATTAAATGAAGTAATGAATCCCTGTGTGACAATAGGAAATGGTCATGAGTGGAACACTAGAAGGAATATATATGTTCTTTGAAAGGGACAACTGTTACTCAACTCTAGATCACGTTGTCTTGATGTGGAAATCATTGTTGGACAAATTTTCTAATATGTCAAGGAAATTCTTTATTTTCAATTTGGAAAACCTATTTTAAAACTTAAACGATGTGTTGATGAAGAAAATAATGCTGCTGGACAGATACAACACAAGAAAGAATACTACAAAGTTCAGACATGATAAAGAGAGACAAGCCCAGGATGCTATGTTAGAGTGTCTATGCCAGATTTTGGGAAATTCCAGGAAAACTTTGACAGATGGTGGCAAAGCAAACAAAGGTACAATAGGTAGAGAGTCTCCCAAGTGAAAGAGAGGGCGGCTACTGAGGGAAATGCGGGTTGAAACTACCACTGTAGGTTTCAAAGTGGATTCGCCTGTTGGATTAGTTCCCTTGAGAAGCTGGCTGATTGGGACACATCCACATTGGTTACCATTGATTGAGACGAGAAGATTGAGCATCTTGATTTGATAAGCACCCACTTTCTGTGTGACTAAGTAGAATGTTTACTAACTCTAAGCTCTAGGCTCCTCTCTTTTCTTTGGCTTGCCAGGTTACTGCCAATGTGCTCAGTATTGTTGACTGGCACATAGTGAGGCAAAAATTTCATCCTTCTAGAACTGGATAAATCAGTTTTTAGTAGTCTTCTTATTGCTTACCTTGAGTCAGTTTCCCTGTGCCTGTTCTCCAAAAATAGATGCTAGGTAGTAATAATATCTAGTTTGAATATTTTGG